AAAAGAATGGTTTGGCTGGGCTTCAAAAAAATGTATGTACAAATTGTACTTATTTTGATTATACCATTAATTTTTCTATACAATATAAATTTTTCCGATTCAATTAAAAAAACTCTGAATAAAGAAAAATATTTGGTGAATTGTCATTTTGAAGAGCCTCATATTGATTCATTGATTGAACTAAATTCTAATGAAGTCGCTAAGAACAGTATTTTTTTTGTCGAGACATCATGTAATCACAAAAATGGCATCAAATTGAATCTTAGACAAGGATGTGCTATAGAATCTGCAGCTCGACTTAATCCTAGTTCTAAAATTTTTGTTTTATATCTGTCTCCTAGTTCTGTTGAAAATAAGTCTGAAGTTCTCATTAAATTACAGAAATATAAAAATATCAATCTAAGGTATGTTAATTTAAGATCATATTCAGCAAATACACCAGCACAAAATTTTGTTACTTCAAATACAATATATACAAGTAATTGGCCTGTGTCTCACACTAGCGATTTACTAAGGTTTCTCACTTTATGGAAATTTGGAGGTACCTACTTAGATCTCGATGTCGTTCTCTTAAAGTAATATAAAATTTAATTAATTTTAAATAGTTTATTTTATTTTAATAAATGAGTTTGATAATGTTTTTTGTAGGTCACTTGGCAACTTTTCTAATTTTGTGAGTAAAGAATCAGATGACTCGATTGCTTCACTTGTGTTAAATTTTGGTACTGATGATCTTGGTAAATCTGTAGCAAATACAGCAATTAATGATTATGTTAACAACTATCGAGGTTATAACTGGGGCTACAATGGACCTGGAGTTATAACTAGGACTCTTCAAAAAATGTGTAATACTAATTCTGTAAGTAAAATGTAATTTTTTAAGTTAAACTTAATTATATTTTTAATCAGATTTATATTTTAATTTTAAACATGTTTATGTAACATTTTTTATTGATTCTATATTGGTTATATAAAGTAAATTCATTAGGCTAATTATAACTTTCAGATAGTGGAAATGAATAAAGACAAATGCCAGGGCTTTACTATATTTGATTCAGATGCTTTTTGTCCTGTACGTTGGGAAGATTGGTATAACTACTTTAATGCAAGTATGAGTGATGAAATTATGAATAGTATAAAAAATAGCATAGGTATTCATGTCTGGAACCAGCATAGTAAAAATACAAACATTTTCATTGGATCAAAACAACCGTATGGTTTAGTGGCTCAGAGTTATTGTCCTGAAGTTTTTTCCTTAGCTAGGCATATATTTTAATTG